ATATTTATACTATTAAGAAATATAAGTAAAAGCCATTTATCTTGACAATTGGCAAAAAAAACAAAACAGAATCCATATACATATATAATAATATTTTTAAATTCTGACAATTATCTTTTTAATTATATACAAATACTGTTCTCAGTTCATAGACTAAGTCTCATCCTTTAGTCTGCACCAACATTTGCAGTTCCCTTGTTGGCCTCTCTTCTCATAAGGGCTTCCAGTAGGGCTTCTCCTTGACAGGATCCCTTGTCTTGTAATGATCTTTTATTGCCTGTCTGTCTTTCTTCTGCTTGCCAGTCAGTTCGTCACTTAAGTTGTCATCTTTGTACATCTCATCTTCACCTAGTAGGTCTTTATCTTCTATAACAAAGTCACTATCTTCAGATTCTGCATCTGTGACAACCACACCTGCCATATCCATCTGCATCTCAATAGCTGCACCTGTAAGTTATTCTTCCCTCTTGAAGTACCTCTTCAACAGATTGGCATGGTAGACCCAGGTTGTCCCATCCACTTTCACCTTAGAGTGCATTCTCTTGATCAAAAGGTCCTTTTCACTGCTGGGTGATGTTGTTGTTGATTGTGGGTAGCAGAACTAAGATCTTCTGTCTGATCTCTAAATGTTGATCCTCGACCTTCTTGTCATATAAATACTTCTTACTGCCTTTGATATGTTTAGCTTCAACAGGTCCAGTTCAATAATCCTTTATGGTCCTCTGTTTTGTAAATCTCTTTCCATTTTGTATTGTGCTCAACTTTATCTTTGGTACTGTCCCAAAGTTTCTGCAGTGAAAGGTCTTTTTTTCTGCATATCCTTCAGCTCCCATGAACTTACAATTTGGGATGTCACTTTTTGAGACTTTAAGAGGCTTGATATCTTGCTTGCTCTTCTTCCCTTGAGCTATTGTAGTGACTGCAGATGCTTCATCCATCTTCTTTCTGTTTGGTTTCTCCAAATTCCTAATATGTGGTATGCTTCCAATCACCAAGTCATATATTGGTGCCTTCACATGCATGGCCTCAAGGTCTCCCACTTAGTATGGAGTG